AAAAAAAAAAAAAAAAAAAAAAAAAAAAAAAAAAAAAAATTAGCCGGTAAACGAAATAAGCCTTACAGTCTGTTAGGCGTTTTTATGCGTTTTTGCTGCTACAGCCAACAAAAACGCATATTATCGAGAGGCTGTCTGTGTGTTTGTTCAGAAGCGAGTGTATTTTGTCACCCACTTTCATCTCAGCAACCAGGAAGTAAAAGGGGCTGGTTTTTTCAGTGGCAAATTCGGACGAAGTCGCTAAACCTGACATTTACCAATTCACCAAATCAAAGGCTAGTTGTTGTGACTTCAGAACTTGCAGAATTGATATTTTTAACGTTTTAAAGGCAATCGCGATTGTTCATTTTGCCTTACACTTTACTTCAACAAATCAAAATTATAATTCGCTGTTTTGGCAAATTAAAAATATAAAGCATTTCAAACCAGCGAAAAAAGCTGTGTGGAAAAGTCCCTTCTGAACAACATTGATGTAAACGCTTTTGCGGCACTGTCGCTACTCTAGCGAATTAGATTTATCAAACTGAGTTTATTATTGCAGAATCTTGGGGCGTCACACAACTGTTATATTCAAAAGTGGAAACTGCTGAAACTGAAAAAGAAAATTAGTCATTATCTGCAGGCGGCTCCGCGACTGAAGCCCATTTTTGCACTTCTCCTTTGCCAAATAATGCAAAAATGATAGCGCCAAACAAAAACACTCCTGCTGTAAAGACGAATACAATCCGCCATTCGTGCAAAAGCTGCAATAAAATCTTGAAGTTCCGGAGGTCAAAAACAGGCATGTTAGATAATAGGACAAGCTGAAAAAGATGCTTCCTTATTCTCAAGTGCTCTTGAATTTTCAACCTCATTTTGTACGACAGCTCCAACGAATAAGGGACTCAGCATTCCCGGTAGCGTTGCAAGCGTATTTGATAAACCCATCAGATGGCCGGCATACTGAAAAATTTTAAACTATACACGAGAAAAGCGCAAAATTATAGGAATTAAAATTTAGAAGCAGACATTTTTCCGCTAGTATTAGCAAGACCATTCGAGCGGTAGCTGTGATGATCCAGTATCAGTACATTAATGGGATACACACGCCAAAAACAGCTGTACGACTCTTCTGTTCTCAGTTGCGATTTTCAGCAGATAATTGTCACCTGTTCACAGCATATGTGCGATCCCTTGGAGATCACTCAACCGGTCGTTTACTTTCTTCCGAGTACCCGCTCACTGATGTGTGACATTTACCGTAGTTGGCAAAACGAACAGTATGTCCCGCTCATCGGATTTTATTTCTAGCCTGGTTGCCTTAATATATTGCAAGTCGCTTGTATGGCAGAGTTTGACTGAATACTTAGTCATTAAGTGATTTTTCTAACTGCTGGGGGAGGGGGTTTAGATAAAGGATTAGTCACAATGCTCGTGAACCCCCAGTAAATGTTAGTACGTATGCAGCTCCGGCGACAATTTTTCAGATTCTCCTCGCTACCCCTTTTATAAGAGGGCTCGAGTTTCTACAGCAGCCAAATATTTTTTTAGACGAATACCGCCTTAATTGAACATCGCCATTCTTTTCATTAATGCCCCCCTCGTCTCTGTTCAGCTCTCGCATTGCCTTACTCTTCCCTATTTCTTTCCTCCCCCTCCTCAGCTCCAATTTCCTGTCTTGCAGCTTTGATAATCTCGATGCTAATATCGTCATCGCTGTAATAAGCTCGATGCTATCTATATCATCATTTCTATAAATATCAGAAATACAAAAAAAAATTTTCATGATGCATTGTAACTGCTTTCTTGTTAACTATTCATTAGCGTAAATTCATTCACCTGTGGAGCAATATCTAGTGAATTGACTGAAAAAGCGCTGAATGTTAATCCACCTAAGCCAACGGATGCAATGAGGGAGAAAAGCACCAGCCATTCCCATGTTTTGAACATTGCTATTAGCATAAATATTGCTTGTCCAATAAGGCCTTAAAGTGGTTGTACTTTGATTATGGAAAGTAACTGAATGAAGCTTTTCAGCAGCAACTAGAGCTTCGAGCAAGAAGTGATAAGCAGGGGATTTAGATAAGCAGCTTTTAAGCCAAAAATGAAGGAAAATATTAGATAGGGATTCGTAAAGTAAAAACGAGTTAAGTGCAAAAACAAGGCATAATTGTTGGCAGAAATTTTGTGACAAAGTGCGTTGAAAGTTGCTTTGCACCAATGTTTCTTTACTAGAGCAGCGGAAGAAATATTAAAAAAAATTGGCCAACACACGGGCTGCCCGTGCGAAGATGCGTTTTTTGCAGATTTCCCCGCAATTTTTGTCACTATCGGAGACGGTTTTTTCGGCAAATGTTTCAAGCTAAACTAATTAAGATTGGTTGCCAGAACTGGTAGGAAACA